CTCTTCCTGAGGTTTTACTATTTTGTTGCCATGTTTCAGTTAAAATGTATCTTTTAGAAGTCTTGTTGAGATTTTACTGTAAATTATTTTTAATTCCAGGCAGTCTCCTCCCTTCCAGATCCTGCCCTTTTATTCTTTTTCTCTCCTTTCCTGCTTTCAAAAGCTTTTAAATATCCAGAAATCTTTATTATCCCATTGACATTTTATTTTCAGCTTAAATGCCTATTGATGTCAAAGTGGATTTTTTTTTCAATTTCTTGCTTAAGTCTCTTAGCTGTCAGTATAGGGAAAGGAAAAGGAGAGAGAAAAAACCAAACCCTTTCCCTTTTCTCTCTCCTTCGTTGCTTGAAAATCTTCTTTGGTAAGAGTGTTATTTTTTTTATATAGTTTAAATTCCAGGGTACCTTATTTATTGCTTTTGCTATTTGACCCGGTCAACCAAAACTTTCTCTTCTTATCTTCCTCCTGCACATTCTTTTCCAGTCGAGTTCTTCTTTGTGGTGTCCATTTCTGACCACCACTGCAACCGCCTTCGGGAAAGGGAGTAATGGCCAGCTGAGGAGGAGAGATGCGGCTCTCCTCAACCCTGCAGGCAATCTCCCCCCTCTTCACCACCTCTACGGTGCAGAGTAATGTCTAATTCTTAAAGCCAGTCCAAATGAAGCTATCACTTTGGGTGCTTCTAAGAAAATTTGAGAGCCAGTTTGGGGTAGTGTTAAATCGACATGCTACAAACATGAGGATCATGATTTCTTGTCCCACTTTAGACATAAAGTCAAATGGGTGACCTTGGGTTGCAGGTACTTGACTTCGAAGCATTTTTTTTAGTGACCAAAGTTACAATGACATTGAAAAAAGTCAATTGGGAAAGCCAGATTTGTATAATGACTATGCAATTAACTTAACTGCAGTGATTTGCTAAAACAACAATGGCAAAATAGTTCCTACAGATGAGTACAGCTCCCTTAACAACTATCTTGCTTAGGAATGAACATTCTGGCCCCAATTGTGGTTGTAAGTCAAGGACTACCTGTAGTCACTCTATTTCGGTTCTAGGAACAGAATGAATGGTCATATACCTATAAGAAGAATGTCATATCAGTATTATTTGCATTTGTATGATACAGCAATTCTGCTATCATTGTTGGCAAATTGTGGCCTATTGATCAGCATGGACCAATGTGCAATTCTTGAATTTTATTGAATATCAGTGTGTACATTTGGCCAAAGTTGATTACCTAAAAGAGACGAATTACACTCAAATTGGTTTTATGGCTTGCTGCTACGGAGTCAGCAGAATTTTCTACCACCTATATCAGCAGATTTAAATTCTTTTGAGCAATTCTCTCCTTCTCCCTCCCAGCCTAATTTTCCATTTAATTCATGGCTGTTTGTTTCTATAAGGAAAAGTACAAGGCCATTTTATTTCATGCATAATTTATTTATGCCAGCAACTAAAAAAGATGAACACCTATGCCCACAGAAGTGCTTTGTCAAATGCATTCCACTATCTCCTGTTGATGCTTAGCTGGGGGTAGGCAGAGAAAATAAGTCACATATTGGTGGGTGAGGAAGAATTTCCGAAAGTTCAGATTGTATTATTATTCCCCACTGAATTGTCCAACAGGGAATACATGATATTAGACTGGTTCATGCCACATTTGGAAAAATTATGCTGGTATCTAGAAGAGGAATTAAAGACAATTTCTGGACCAAGTGGATCTAAATTAGTAGACCAGCAAAATACTGTGGACATAATATATTTAGATTTCAGCAAGGCATTTGACAAAGTAGACCACAGCCTACTTCTTAGTAAGCTAGAAAAAAGTGGCATGGATAGCACCACCACTAGATGGACTCGCAACTGGCTGGCAAACTGTACTCAACGAGTAGTCCTTAATGGGTCTAAGTCTACATGGAGGGAAGTAAGCAGTGGGGTACCACAAGGTTCCATCTTAGGCCCAGTACTCCTCTTCAATATCTTCATTGACCACTTAGATGAGGGAATAGAAGGGGAACTTACCAAATTTGCAGATGATACTAAGCTGTCAGGAATAGCTAACACCCAAGAAGATAGGCTCAAGATCCAGATGGATCTTGACAGACTAGAACACTGGGCGGTATCTAACAAAATGAAATGTAGAGAAAAGTAAAGTCCTACTCTTAGGCAAGAAAAACCAAAAGGACACATATAGACTGGGTGAAACCAGGCTCAATAGCAGTAACTGTGAGAGGGATCTTGGAGTCTTAGTGTACAACCAGCTAAATATGAGCCAGCAGTGTGCAGCAGCAGCCTAAAAAAGCTTATGCAATCCTCAATTGTATTAACAGAGGGATACAATCAAGATCAAGGGAAGTACTAATACCACTCTATAAAGCCTCAGTAAGACCACACCTAGAGTACTGCATCCAGTTTTGTTCACCACATTATAAAAAAGATGTTGACATCTAGAAAAAGTACAGAGAAGAGCAACCAGGATGATTAGGGCACTGGAGGCTAAAACATACAACGAACAGTTGCAGAAACTGGGCTTGGCTAATCTAGTAAAAAGAAGGACCAGGGGAGATATGATAGCGGTCTTCCAATATTTGAGGGGCTGCCACAGGGAGGAAGGGGTCAAGCTATTTTCCAAAGCACCCGAAGGCCAGACAAGAAATAATGGATGGAAACTGAACAAGGAGAGATTCAACCTGGAAATAAGGAGAAACTTTCTGACAGAACAATCAACCAATGGAACAGCTTGCCCTCAGAAGTTGTCAGAGTTCCATCACTTGAGACTTTCAAGAAGAGATTGGACTGTCATTTGTTAGAAATGATGTAGGGTCTCCTGCTTGGGCGGGGGGGTTGGACTAGATGACCTACAAGGTCCCTTCCAACTCTGATTATCTGTTAAATCTGTTAAATCTGTTCTCTGCACAGGATCGTACCAGATTAATAAGGCACTGTTTTGTTCACATTTGGAAGTTGAGAAGGTTTTAAGTGTATTTGCTCTACAAGTACTTCTTCTGGCCAGACACATTGGTTGAACTAGGATCCAAAGATGTTTCATCATCACTGTATCCACCAATTCTGTAAGTTCTATTTGAAACTCCTACGTTCGTAATAGTTACGTGCATCTCTCTAGTCCTTTTAAACCCAAAAGGTCAGACAGTGAACACAGCATAAAACTCAAGTCAGACACAAATAAATATTAAGAACTTAACATTGCTCAAACCACTGGCCTATTTTGTGGGATGGAAAGGCATTAGTTTTTAGTGTTTCCATGCTGGCAAACACTTTTTTCTCTCACTGCTTGCTAAATATATAACTGCACAGCACTGACGTAGACTTTGGTTGTGAGATTTTCATGCTCAGATAACAAAGGGATGTGTGTTTAGTGATTTGCAGGAAAAGTTCGTCCATGTATACATGCCCCAGACACTTAAGACATGAAGAATATCTCCTGTCCTTAATTTCATTGGAAATTTTATCACCCAAAAAGCAAATATTTTATTAATGATGCATATGTCTGGTCTGATAGGGATAGGTTTTGTCTTGTGCCAGTCATTTTATCCCAGCCCTAGGAAGGAAGCAATGGCAAACTTCTTCTGAAAAACCTTGCAAAGAAAAATGCAGGGACTTGTCCAAGGATTGGACATAATTGAATGGAAGTGGGGGGAAACCCTCCCAGATTAAAATAAATGGGTGTTTCTAGTTTGTCTGAATTAATCCCAGCTTCTTAGCTTTCAGATACCACACTGTTTAAGTCACTGGCAGTATGCTTGGCTTCACTAGTTACCTGTGAAACACAACTTGTTGCTTAGTATGCAAAGCGGGTTGGGTTCCCACAAGTTAGATAAAACTGCAATTGTCCTAAAAACTAATTTGGTAGTTCAGTGTGTTTTGCAAATCTAGAAAATAATCTATGGTTTATGGTTTACTGTGTTGCAAAGCTCAAAGTTCTTCGAAGTAGAACAGAAGAATCTCTAAATTTGTATTAGGTACTACCTAGGTAACTGCATTTTTGGGCACCTATGTTTAAGCCACACAAAATCAATGCCAGAATTCTTGTTCCAGATTTAAAATTGAGGTGTACTGCATCCCAGAATCCATGAAACCCAGTAGTTTCATATGGCTGGATGGTGTCATATGGCTTGATTTTGGCTTAAATATGTTATGTGAACAGAGCACCGATTCCTTGGAAACGAGGATCCATAGTTTAGTGCACTTTGTCAAGTTGAGCAAGTCTGAATTATTTAACAAACTCTGATTCTATCTGTTGAGCAGACAGCTAGCTTCAGAGCTTTTTGTTTTTTTACAGCCTGAGAGAAGAGTCAAAATGATTTCCTGGCTAGGCTCCCCCAACACATTAGGCTAAACAAGACAGGGGTGCTTTTTGGGTACACATGACAAAAATTCAGCCACTTAACAGGAGTGACCAACTGGAACCTGAATGTGCAAAATTTCACTGCAGTCAATGGGCTGACCGCATGATCCCATCCTATTCTTCTACTCAGAAGAAAGTCCCTGGAGTTCCTTGGGATCTGACCCGCAAAGAGGTTCGCAATGCCCCAAAGACTCAGTGGCCGCTGGAAATTGGGTGTCCGGCGAAACCACTGAGATAGTAACTGCCTTTCCTTTGTTCACAACTCCATCTCATTTCATTGTGTATTGTTTTCCTGGGTTTCGTAGCCTGCCTACTGCAGACAGCCTGGAGACTCTTCTTGCAGAAGGCGATCAAGCGAGAGACTCCCTTCTCTTTAAGGGAGCCGAAGCACACCTGGCTGCGTGCACGCGCGCGCACGCGCGTGCAAGGAGCCCCCCAGCCCAGCCTCCCAGCCAGGATACGGCGGCTGGACCGGCGCCTGCGGCGGAGGTGTTAGCCAACGGGGAATTGATTGGCTCTTCGGCATCTCTGGCTCGGCCGTCCGGGTCAGTTCCTCATCACCGGCGCGCCGAGAAGAGCGGAGGCTGGAAGCTCGCCGGCGGTGGCCTCCAAAGTAGATCCCGGGCTGGCGCTCCCTTGGGTTCCTACCTGCCTTTTCCCCTCCAACGATCCACATTCCTGGGACCCCCCACCTGCCCCCTCCCCTCTTGGTCGACTTTCTCGAGGGTTTCGGTTGCCGCTTTCTTGCAGGATCGAAAACTTCGCAAGTTGCTCGCCGGGCGCCTTCGGAGCGTCCGCTTCCCTTTTTTCCTCCCAGTGCGATTCGGCCACGAGGTGCTGCTGCCCTCTACCCCTCCTCAGCTAGGGAGGGAGCGGGGCGCCCGGCAGCGCCTGGGCGCTCAGGCCTCGCCAGGAAGGATCGCCGGAGCAGAAAGGCGGCATGAGAGAAGCGCGCAGAGCCAGGGCAGAGGACCGGGTGCAGGAGCCAGAGCGCGGGGCCGGGACCGCAACATCGCCCGGCAACCCGGACGCCTTTCCGCGGCTTCACTTTCCGATTTTGGAATTGGCAGGGCAAGGCTTTTGCAAGACTTAAAGTGTTGGGTTTATCTTTCCTATCCTCTATTTTTTGGGGGGGAGGTGACGCCTGGAAATACGGATTTCCAAGCCCTTCGATCAGAACCGCAGTAACTCCGATTCCCGCGCCTGCTAAAAACATCCCCCGCTCTCTCCAACTTCGAAACCCCCAACTCTTCCGAGCAACGTTGCAAACGGCTGGACTCCCCATCCCCCCAACCCCTTTTTGGCAATTCCTTCCCGCGCCAAGCCGCCGCTTTATTATTGGAAGGAGACTTAAGGAAGGGGGGGGGTCGATCTCGCTTTAAATCTTGCCCCCTTCCCCCCCTCCCCGAGAGGGAGGGAGGGAGAAAAAAAAAAGGATCCCTCGCGATGGCCGCGAGCGGAGACTCGGCCAGCGCGATCCCCACTCGGGCCGGTTGGAGTCCGCGGGAGGACGAGCCCGCCTCGGCAACGGTCGCCGCGACAGCAGCGGCGGAAGAGGGAGCCTTCGGAGCCGGTTGCAACGGCTGCTGCTCCTTAGCCGGCCCGAAGGAAGTGAAGCAAAGCAGCAGCAGCAGCAGCAACAGCAGCAGCCACCGACGGGAAAGAGGCTCCTTCAGCGGCGAGAGCGCGTCGCCCCGGACTTGTCAGAGAAAGAAACTTCCCTGGGTTTTGGGCGCCGGGTCGGTGGCGCTGCTCCTGGCTTTGGGGACCCGCCTGGGGCCGGACGTCCGAGGTCGAGATCGAGAAGAAGCGGGCGAAGGGCCCCCCCCAGGTGAGCCCAGCTGGTCCCCGCCGCCCGGCCCGGCGCTGTGCTGCTGCTGCCTCCTCCTGGCCGCCTACTTCTGGCTGGGACTGGAGCTGCTGCGCGCCGGGCTCCGCTTGCGCACCGCCGTCCTGCTCCTGGCCGTCGGCTGCTGCGGCGGGGAAGCGCTCGTCGGCTCGGCCCTGGGGGAAGATCGCTTGCTCTCCGCCGCCGCCGCCGCCGGCTTGGGGCTGAGTAGCCTGGCCGGCTGGGCATGGCTGCTTCTGCCCCGGTTCCGCCACGGCGTCCTCATGCTGGCCTTGACTAGCGCGCTCCGCCTCACCTCGCTCGTCTTCTTGGAGGGCGTCCGGCCGCCGTGGAGACCTCACCTGGCTTATCTCCTGGCTTTGCTGGGCATCCTTCTGGCCAGCTGCGCTCGGCACGCCTCGTCGGGCCGCCCCTCCGGAAAGCGGGAGGAGGAGGAGGAGGAGGAGAGCCGAGCAGGAGCGGAAGGAGCCGACTCCGCCGCCGCCGCCGCTGCCGCTGCTGACGCCCGGCCGGCCAAAGAAGACGCGGCGGGCTTGAAGAGGAGGCGGCGGTCCAGCTCCGTGATCTCCGCCGAGATGGCAGGTTGCGGCGGCAAGAGCCACCGGAGGACCTCTCTGCCCTGCATCCCTCGCGAGCAGGTAAGCGGGGGAAGCGCTGGGGCGCTGCGGAGAAAGGCGCGGGCAGCGGGGCTGAAGTCGGAGCCCGGCTGGGGAGAGTTTGCAAAAAATCCGCGCCGAGGCAACAAAGTTGGTCGCCGCCGCTTTTTTCTTTCTTTTTCTCTCTTCTCCCTTGAAAAGGGGAAGCGACCCGGAGGATCCGCCAATGAAAAACTCGCCAAAATTCCGAAGGAGCGACCGGCGACCCCCTCGTCCCTTCCATCCCTTAAAGCCCCGAACTCCCCTCGTTGCTTTCCTTTCCAGTTCGAAACCATTCGGCGGAAGACCCGATTTGCGGTCCTAAAGATGGAAACTTAAGTGACCATTGGAAAAAAATAAAGTAGGGTAATTTAGCCAGCAAATCCTTTCTTAGTACCTTCGAAGGATACCGGATAACTTGCTTTCTCAGGAGTTGCGCCCCGTAGGGGTAGAGTTTTCAGACTTGGTAGTAGATTTGCCCCCCCTTCCCCCCCTCACGCACTAGGTGCAGGCCCCTATGAGGAAAATTCATAATTTCATTGGGTTGATTAAATCGCAAAAGGCCAGGCATGCATAGGGGGTAATGTTTTTTTTTAATAAATGTTGAGACCACTTTAGAAGTGGATCAGGACCCCTCTTCCAGGTGGAGGTGCTGACCCACCATCCCAGTCTGAGTTAAAAGCATTTCTATTTTTTTCCATCCTTCTGTGTAAATTGCTCCTGAGCTTGTGATAGCTCTCTTGGGTAACTTTAAATATCATCCCTCTCTGAGAATTATTTGAGAGAAGAATTTATCAGCAAAAAAGGTCTCTGTATGTTTTAAAGGAAAAGGACTTGTTTTTGAAAGGCTGGTGCTAATTCTGCAGCTAACTGATGTCTTACGAATCCAAAGCAAGCAAAAAGTTAAGCTCTGTTTTATGTAGGGGTACTAACGAGTTGTATCTTTTTCATGACAAGGCCTTCAACAACTCAGTTACTTGGGGTGTTTGCTTTTTTGCACACTTAACCATGTTATAGCTAGATTTCCGTTGGTTGTAACAGCTTATGTAGCTGAATTTTCTGATTGGAATTTCTGTGGTGTCTCTGTTTGAGTTTGGGATGGTTGAGATGTTAAGAGAAACTTTTTTCATAACTTGAAGAAACCAGAAATTGGATTTCTTTGTGACAAAAAGCTCCAAAAGGCCAATATAGAAATGCAATATTGCAAGTTAGTTTTCTCTACTCCGTTTTAAAGCTATTTTTCACCTTTTAAAACTTGCTTGTTTAATTTTGTTTTAAAGAGCCAAGATCTTAGTCCTAGAAAAATGTTGAATTGAAACTTACAATTTACTATCGGACAGATCTTTAAATGTGAATATTTCAGTTCCACTGGGCAGTACAATAATTAGCCTTCAGAATATCAGATAATATGATGCTACAATGGATGCTTTAACAGTAGTAGGAATTTCCAGTGGTTATTTTGGAGATGTGAAGTTTTTGCTAAGTTTGAAGAAGAAAAGAACTTTAATCACATACCATGGAAGAAGTTTTGTGTTTTCCATTTTTTTTAGAAAAGATAAAGTTTTATTGGAATTCATAGTAAAGGATTGGGAAGAAAGGAGAACATTCTGTAGTTCTAAACAAGGTTTTTTGGAGGTCCAGTAAAATCAGTGAAACTGGACATCTGCATATGTATTAAGGTGCTTGCCATTTGACTGGGTATTGTTTACAAAAAATGCATTTTAATCCCTTCCCGTTCAAGGCAGTGACATTAAACTTTTAACAGCTGGCAGATATTCTTCTCTTCAATGCTGGAATTGTTTAAATTTACACTGTTTTCAGATTGCTTGTCTCGTCTGCTGCAGGTTGCTTGAGGTTTAATTGGCCACAAATACACTAATAAATTTAAGGAAAAGAAGGAATATTGACCATATTTCTCAAGAGCAAAAACCACAAGTAAAAATGGATCCTGAAACTTGGATTCTGTCCCCAATGCTTTGTCATATTCCTTTGTGCCACTGTGAGAGGGAAAATAAAAAAAAATGAAACCATACATTCCTAATTAAAACCAAGGGGGGAGGGTGAAAGTATGGCTATTATATGAATATGTCAACCATATGTATTTTTTTAAAAAATACATGTACAGAATAAGGGTCTGGCTGCTATCGCTTGCTTACACAAACTTCTCAATATATTTTAATTTATGTGGTAAGAAAAATCAGTATCCCTAATTGGGTTTCCATTCATCTATATGGAGCTAATTATGCAACAGGAATTAAATTAGGGCCATTAAACAACAGTGCTATTCAGCAGTGCCATTTCTCAACGTGAAGGGTATCTTCAATCTCTGTAGTTGATTCAGCCAACTTGAACAATGTTGTTTGGAAATGAAAACTGGGTGGTTCCAAAATAAAATATATATTACCAAAAGAAAACAAGAAAATAGTAGTTTTGCATTTAACCTGGGAATATGTAAACTTACAAAGTTTTGTTTCAAAGTTTTAAACTCCTTTTTTGTATTTTAAAAGAACTACTGTACTTTGTGAATTGTGTCAAAGCTTTTGATTGCCCTGGACTATAAAACTTTGACATTACAATAGTTCTCCCTTGTCCTGTGTAGAGAACAGTGTTATGAAAATACAGTAGGTGCTTTTACATATTCTTGTAAAAGAACATCGTGATTTGAAATTAAACCCACAGTGGGAAATGAAAGATGCAGATTTTTTATAAAACGTGTTTCCTTTTAAAGTTTGTCAAATGATGTGAACACCTCTGGCCTGAACCTTGAATGTACAGCGCCAGGAAAATCATGAAGTAAGTACACAAAAGTACTTGAAGAAATCATGAAGTAAGTTTTACATGAAAGTTAGTGTTAAAAAATTCACTTTTATTATGATCGATCTTACATAGTTAATTTACACGAGTAAAAAAAAGTAACATTTTAACAATGTAAAGAAATACTTGAAGTTTAAAAAAATCGAACCTCTTGTACAAGTGTAATGCTTTGTTTAGATTTATGAATTTGAATACCTTTCGAAATAAAAAACACACACTGAGAAATAAAAAACAGATTATTAGGCTCATTTATTAGGCAAGAGAAAGATGTTTTGAGAAGTGGTGCTTATTATTTTTGAATAACTCAAATATTGTAGAATTTTAAGTTTTGGTGTCTGATTCAGGGTGGAAAAGAATCCATAAATTCCCAGACAGTTAGTGGCTCCCTCACATTATTCACTAATGCTCAGATGTGTGCAATATGCAAGTGTTTTCAAGGATAAGGAAAGCGGGTTGACACCAAAACGGCTTGAAGGATTTGGAAGCTCGGCTTCCTCGTGAGTAAGAAGTTTTTAGAAAAAAGTTTTGAAAAAGTAGGTAGAACAAAATGGTAAAGCATTTCTGTCACCCAGCACAAATGTTATTGGCTTGGAATGAATCCCATTGGATTCACTTAATTTGATGCCCGAGTGGAATGCATGTTTCTGTGGTTGATATTGTTGTTAAAGAGTCAGATGGAGGAACTTGGTTATCTAAAAAGGCACCTGCCCAAAGGTATTCACCAGTATAATTAAATCTGCCCAAACTGGCATGCATTTAGTGTAGATATAACCTGCCAGCAGTGTTGTGAGATTCCAACATTTCCCATTTTAGGAGGTTGTGAGCTTGGCGATTGCAACTAAGTGATTGTTGATTGCTTAAACTGGATTGTGTTAATCTGGGGGAATCAGAAGCTGTCCAGGTCTCAAGAGATGTGGTGAGATGCTTAGCCTCTGAATGGATCAGAATATAAACAGCACCCCAGTTTCTTCATTTTATCTGACATTTCTTCAACTGTAAAGAGACGGCCTGGGAATGTTGTGTCGATGGAAGTTGGTATTTATTTATGATCATTAATAAATGTGGTCTCTTCCAGAAGTTAGAGAATGCCGTGTATATGGATCACAGCTCCCTAAGTTCTTATTATCTAAAAGTGCTGGTCAGGAAACAACAAACAAACAAACATAAGGAGGAGCAGAAAAGTGCCCATCACTGTTGCCTGTCCTTAAAGTTTGGCTTTGATATTCAGAGACCACAGGAAGTTGCTTTTTACCATTTTAGGCTATTTTATGTTTTAGCCTGATACTGTCATCCGTGAGCTGAGTGGCTGCCAAAATGCCCTTCTCAGTCGATGGAACTTGAGCTTTTCTTTCTAGAAATGTCTGGAATTAACTGCTTGAAAAGAAAACACAGGCCATAAGAGTGGCCACCTGTTTTTGTGATTGGGCTACGTATTTGTGGGTTTGATATCTAGTCCAGGATATGACTAAAAAAACCCAACCGTCGATGCTCAAGACCTTTTACCAAGCAGAGATTTGAAATGCTTCCTGTCATCCTATCCCACATTCTTGCCCCAGAACCAGCTGTCCTACTTCTTTATAAGGTTCATACAAACACCCATTGTGCATAACAACAAATAAAAACGTGGACTTTGGACGTATGTGCAAATGGCGGTGTTGACTTTATAACATTAATGAGGTTCACTCGTTTTTTGCCCATTATGACCCCATTGCCCTAGATGTTAAAGAGGATATCAAAATTATACTCCATAAATGTCTTGCATGCAACGCTAGGCAATTGCTCTTTTTAATTGGAAATTGAACCCGCAGTCCTTCCATAAATCGAGGATCACTAATAATGGTGGGAGATAATTTCTCTATTCCACTACAGCAGGGGTGTCAAACTCAAGGCCTGTGGGCCAGATCTGGCCTGCGGGGTGCTTGGATCTGCCCCATGGGACCACCCTGGACGCAGCGAAAGACTGCCCTGAGTTGCCTCTGCTGGCAAAAACGGAGCTCAAAGGGCTGCGTGTCCGTCCCCCCCGAACTCCGTTTTCAGTTGTGACAGCTTCCTGCAACCTTTTGCCTGCAAAAACGGAGCTTGGGAGGGCCACATGGTCCCCGATGATCTCTGTTTTCGGCTGTGACAGCCTCCTGCAACCCTCTCCAGCGAAAACGCAGCTCGGGAGGGTGCTTGGGCCACCACAGGTG